TTTTCAGGAAAATATAAATAATATATATATTTATTATATATTTTTATATTATTATATATATTTTTAATATTATTTTTTTATATATATAATTTTTTTTTAATATATTTTAAAATTTTTATATATATATATATATTTATATTTAATTTTATTTTTATATATATTTTTTTAAAAAATATTATAAAAATATATATAAAAAATATATATATATTTATAAAATATATATATATAAATATTTTATTTTATAAAATATATAATATTATATTTATAAAAATTATAAAATATTTATATAATATATATATATATAAATATATATAATATATTATTTATAATATATAATATATATATATATAAATTTTTAATTTATATTAATAATATAATATATATAAAAAATAAAATAAAAATATTTTTATATATAATATAAAAAAATTTATATATATATATATATATAAATAATTTTAAATATATAAATATATATTCCCGGGGGAAGGGGAAAAATTCTTCCCCCCGAAACCATGCTGTCGTAAGAGGCGAAAAAAATCCCGGGGAGCAAGGGGTAGTAAACCTTCCCCTGTATTTTTTTAAAAATAAAAAAGGAAAACTTTTTTTTTTCCTTTTTGGGCTGGAAATTTTGCACACAAACAGCACCTTTCAAGGCAGGTGAAATTGCGACCTAAAAATGTACGAAAACCTTTCACGGGCCCCATAACGGAGATAAAACCTCAATACTGGGGCGCTTGGTTCCAAAAACGTATTCCGGGAAATCAGGCGGGAGGATCATGATTATTACACCGGAAAAAATTAGAGGGACAGTACCAAACTTGCCCGAAAATCACTCACTACGAAAGCAAAAGATTGGGCAGCGATGAAACATCCCCCAATGAAAAGCGGGGGTGACTAGACGTTAAGAGAATACAAAAATTTCGGGGGCCCAAGGCGTTCAACTGCCTCCGCATACATAAGGGGGTTACCAACAACCTTGGAGCTTCAACGGCATGGACAAGCCCCTAAAGTCAGTTCCTGACCACCGGGGTGGCTCGTACGTTGGTTTTGTGACCCAGCAGAAAACACCCTGGTTGATGGGGTCGACCACCAGGAGGGGGTCACAGCCCGGGCCGCGGGGGCTTGACCCCTGGAACTCTCTCCAGGTAAATCCAGGAAAAACCCCCTGCCTCGGGGGGTACGGCCGGTGTTTCCCGGGTTTACCGGAAGGAGAGTTCCGGGGGTCAACCCCCCCGGGGCCCGGGTCTGTGACCGGGCCCTCCGGTGGTCAGACCCGTCAACCAGGCTGTTGCTGCGGCTGCCCAAAAACCAATGTAGGCCCCGCCGGGGTGATCAGAATGATTTAGGGGCTTGTCCCTGCCCGCTTGAAAATGCCCGGGGCTGTTGGATCCCCCTTAGTAATTGGGAGGCAGTTGAACGTTTGGGCCCCCACCAAAATTTTATGGTCTCTTAAGTGCTAGTGACACCCTGCTTTTTATTGGGGGGGATGGGGTGTCTGCCAAATCTTTTCTTTCGTATAGTGATTTTTTTGGTGTGCAAGTTCGGTACCCGTCCCCCTATACAGATCAATGCCCCCCAAAAAAAAAACCCCCCCCGTACCAAAAAAACTAGTCCATAACATTTTCTTGGCAAATATAAAAGGGTCTAAAGCCGCAACAAACAAAAAAATACCCTTTCTCCCTGGATGTTGCAGAGGCAAAGGAATGTTGCGGTTTCCCCGAGCCACAAAAGGATCATTTGGGCAAGAAATATGGATCCAGGTTAAACCCTTTAAAATGTGACAGAGTGAACAGGGAAAAGGGGGGGAGGGTTGGCCTTACATTGCAGAGTACTTTTTTTTCCCAGAATGCTGAAAGCCTAATGTGTAGTGGGAAATTTTAGCAGTAAAGGTCGAGAACCAAAACCCATCATTGTGTAGCTACAAACCTCGGGTGCAACATCCCCCAAATTTCCCGGGCAGCTGTTAAAAATTGACCCCTGTTGGAAAATCTTTCCCGCTCCGCACCCAACATCTTGCCTGGGGGGTTTCAACTTAAGGGACCCCCAAAATGGGGGAATATAGCAAATAATATTTTTTGCAGTAAAACACCAGGAGGCAGCTTGATGAAAAAATCACCTCAGCGAGTTTTAAATCTCTGCCAAAATTTAATTTAAACCCCAAATAAAAGAGCCTACAGATGGGAAAAAAAAACTAGCCCCCTCATAACAATGATATTGATAAGAAAAGCACCTATCAAAAACAAAATACTAGATCACAACTAATTGAGGTTCAGTATTATCGCGGGCCCCAGACCGACATAATGAATTAGAGGGGGCATTCACCCAAATTCAACTTCAATAACAAAAACATAAAGTGGGGCCAAGTAAACCAATCCTAACTGATAAAGCTGGGGGAAAATAACTAAGAAAAACAGACCCCAAAAATTTTGCCTAGAACAGTTAAATCTGGCACCGATGTTGCACAAGGCTTATTCCCTAAGAAAAAAAGGGGGGTAATGTAAATAGAAAAAGGGCAGGCGCTCCCCTTTTCAGGGACGGAAAAGAAAAACAGAGCGGCTAAAAGAGGGCAATATATTGAAATGCGTAGGGAGCATGGTAGAGAAAAAGAAGACGAACTTAAACAAAAGAATCCTTTAGGAGTCAGGAACGCGGGAAGAATAAAAACCCCATAAATGAAATCGAAAGAAACCCAAATATTTCTTCTCCCATGCCAATCAAAAAACGGAACAATGTCCAGTAGGGCCCCACTTAAAAAAGATGGGTCCACACAGATGACAGCAAGGAAAAGATGAGTATCAAGCCCAATTGACTCAGTTTTTGCAACCCCTAACCCAAATGAAGTCAAAATCAAAAATTAATTTTTTTTTGAGAGACCCCAAAATTTTTAACACAAGCCTATCCGATGTTATCCTGACGCCAAAAGACTTCGAACAGGCGATAAATAATCCCATGCACCTTTCCCCGGCCGACTCATGGAACTTGGTTCCAAGAAATGCAAGAGCCTATCCGAGCCCTTTTTCCCTCCAAAGGGAGAGGGAGCAGGAAAAGGGGGGCGTCCCCCAGTTACTAAAAAACAACAGACTAGCCCACCCACAAAGGGGGGAGTAAAACAAAGAAAGAACTAAGACCAATAGCACTAAAAACCCCCAAAATAAAAATCTTTAAAGGGTCCCAAAAGCAAATCACACCAACTAGAAACCCATCATTACACAACCCCGGGCAACATGGGTTTTAAAAAAGGTCGTCCTGTCTGTTAAATATTTGGGTCCTACGAAAGGTCCTAAATGCACTAGAAGACAAAAAGAATGCGAGATATATACAGATTGCAAAAGCCTTTCGACAAGGTGACCATGGCTAAAAGCGCACAAAATGCGTGCTAAAGGAATAAAAAGGAAAACGGTCGATGGTCTATAATTTTTTCCTAACAGAACAAGAGAGTAGTCGTCAAAGGTAAAGTCCGAGCAGCTACGGTAAAAAACTCTGTTTCCCCAAGGGCCAGTACTTGTCTATCTTGTTCCTCATCTCAATCCGAATAGACAAGGGGTCAGCCCAGCACCATTCTTCCTTTGCAAGACACCCCAATCGCTGACATGTTTCCTTTGCAGACCTGCAAAGCTCCAGGCGGACATCAACCAAATCTTTCAGTGGGCTGCAGAAAACAATATGAAGTTCAACGATGAGAAATTTCAATTACTCAGATATGGTAAACATGAGGAAATTAAATCTTCATCAGAGTACAAAACAAATTCTGGCCACAAAATAGAGTGAAACACCAACGTCAAAGACCTGGGAGTGATCATGTCGGAGGATCTCACCTTCAAGGACCATAACATTGTATCAATCGCATCTGCTAGAAAAATGACAGGATGGATAATGAGAACCTTCAAAACTAGGGAGGCCAAGCCCATGATGACACTCTTCAGGTCACTTGTTCTATCTAGGCTGCAATATTGCTGCACACTAACAGCACCTTTCAAGGCAGGTGAAATTGCCGACCTAGAAAATGTACAGAGAACTTTCACGGCGCGCATAACGGAGATAAAACACCTCAATTATTGGGAGCGCTTGAGGTTCCTAAACCTGTATTCCCTGGAACGCAGGAGGGAGAGATACATGATTATATACACCTGGAAAATCCTAGAGGGACTAGTACCGAACTTGCACACGAAAATCACTCACTACGAAAGCAAAAGACTTGGCAGACGATGCACCATCCCCCCAATGAAAAGCAGGGGTGTCACTAGCACGTTAAGAGACCATACAATAAGTGTCAGGGGCCCGAGACTGTTCAACTGCCTCCCAGCACACATAAGGGGGATTACCAACAGACCCCTGGCAGTCTTCAAGCTGGCACTGGACAAGCGCCTAAAGTCAGTTCCTGATCAGCCGGGCTGTGGCTCGTACGTTGGTTTGCGTGCAGCCAGCAGCAACAGCCTGGTTGATCAGGCTCTGATCCACCAGGAGGCCTGGTCACAGACCGGGCTGCAGGGGCGTTGACCCCCGAAACTCTTTCCAGGTAAACTCCAGGTCTAGGATTTTCCAGGTGTATATAATCATGTATCTCTCCCTCCTGCGTGTTGAAAGAATGAATATAAATATAATATATATATATATATATATATATATATATATATATATATAATATATATATATATATATATATATATATTATTATATATATATTTTTTTTTTCAACAAGTTGGCCGTCTCCCACCGAGGCAGGGTAACCCAAAAAGAAAGAAAATCCCCCAAAAAGAAAATACTTTCATCATCATTCAACACTTGTACCTCACTCACACATAATCACTGTTTTTGCAGAGGTGCTCAGAATACAACAGCTTAGAAGCATATATGTATAAAGATACACAACATATCCCGCCAAGCTGCAAATATCCCAAACCCCTCCTTTAAAGTGCAGGCATTGTACTTCCCCTTTCCAGGACTCAAGTCCGGCTATATAAAAATAACCGGTTTCCCTGAATCCCTTCACAACAACTAACCAGGATCTGGGCAACATGTGAAGCCCAGGGGGCAGTGTTGACTTGAAATGCAGGTGGTATAGGTGAAGGGCTCCCGTTTTGAGTCTTTCTCAGACTTTTCTGGACACTTAATAATGTCAGGCAGCCAGCTTGATATATCCTGTGGAAACAGAGAGATAGAGGTGTTAGAAGATCCACTTAATACCCACGATATTATGACTCCTCCAGAAAAAAAAATATATACATTGTTGTTAAAAGGTTCTCTTACCGGGCTATCAGTAGGATAAGGGACGCAAGCACCGGCCAGCAGAGAGAACGTGGTTCCTGACGGACACGACACACCAAGTCTGCCAAAACACGATATTGCACATTACTGTCTCGTTTTTCAACTCTGTACATTAAGTTTGTATTTATAATCTTTGCTCTCTTTTGTATCTCTGTTCCTTTAATGGGGCAAGGAGAGAGATGCCTTGAGGGTGGTGAAGGGTTTGTAATCCAAGGAACTAGAGGTAACCTCCCTTTCCGTGAGTCAAATTTAATTAACTCCCATTCATCGGCTGATGTATGACCTCCTACGGGTTTAGGGCTTCTCAATAATAATAACTTTGTATCTAACATAAGTTCCACTAAACATTGGAAACAATAATAATAATAATATATAGTGTAACTAGGGTAACCGTGGACGGTGAAACCTACGCTACTTTGAGACCACTCTTCCTGCTTTGGTTGCTCTCTTGCAACATTGCACAGCTCCTGATGACGCACTAAGAAGTGTGAAAGTACTTGAGCTAAAGATTTACACTCCCCCCCCCCCCGTGGCTTGTCCTGCATAATGTAACAAATATGTGACATCTTAAAAGTTAACGCTGCACATGTATTTTCAGTAAAATATCACATTAAACATTATATATCAACTCTTCGCACTGGTGTTATATGAAGCTTTAAATCATATGTGAGAGAAAGCCGAGATCTACGAGGTCCATTAATAACAAAGTCTGACTTACCTAGAACTTGGTTCATTACATCCTCGGGTGGCACTGACACATTCTCCCTTCTGCATGCAGTAAATGTACCTGCAATATATTTACACTTATGGATATCGTGCTGGAGAGACATAGTGATAATACTGACTGAATAATGGTAAAGAAATGCATTATGTAACATGCTATTCTTAAACAAATATTTATGATACAAACATTTTGCATTCAGAAGTATTGCTGCCAAGTAATTCACTACAACATATTGAGGGTGAGTCTGGTAATATATATATATATATATATATATATATATATATATATATATATATAATATATATATATATATATATATATATATATATATATATATTATATTTATTTCCCCCTAATCCTTGCTGACACAATTCGTCAGGGTCAAGAGAGTCTGAAATCTCAATTTGCATGATCATATAACGTAGTGTGAGGCAAGGTCATACATACCGCAGTAAGAATAAGTGAAGCATGATACTCACCCTCGTGGACACATGGTGGCCATGGTCTCAGGGGGTCGGTCCCCACACCCTCCAGCAGGTTCACACGTCCCACTGGACAAGCAGAACACCTGTGCATACCACCACACTTGTCACAACACCAAACATAATGTAAAATACCCACAAACGAATACTTAAAATATACTATATAACAGGTATCAAACATACATTTTATCATACCTTCATAACATATACATTCTTAAATCAAAATAATAATTATTTCTACAAGTACATGATATAACTTAGACCTGGTTGACATTATTAATATACTGTATAAAAAGCCCCTGGTTATGCGGAGCATTTAGGGCAAATCAGGTTAGTTTTGCCCTCAGGATGCGACCCACACCAGTCGGCTACCCTTCAAGGGGGAGGTTCCTTGGCGCTGGTGAGGGGCTCTTGATCTAGGGAATTGGATCTGTGCTCCAGTTCCCTGAATTGAGCCTGAATACCTTCCCTCTCCCCACATGCGCTGTATAATCCGACGGGTTTAGTGCTCCCCCATGATTATAATTATAATAAAACTAGTCGGCTAACACCTAGGTACCTACAGGGACAGCAGGTATCTACGAGTATTCCTATACCTAGAATAGAACTACAGACCTCAACCTGTGAGCTGAGTGCGCTACCAACCGAGCTAGCTATATTATGACTGGTAATTACATTAATTCTGCTACCATCCCGGGCAGGACGAGATGTATGGGGCAAGTCTCCTATCTCAGGTCACCTGACAATAAGTAGGTACCGGGGTGTTAGTGGACTGTTGTAGGTCGCATCCTGGGGAATGGTCAAATGCTACAACAAACATCTACTGTATATAAAGCCGCTTGTCATGCAGAACATATCGGACAAATTACGTCAGTTTTGTCCACACCAGTCGATTAATACCCAGGTACCTATTTTATACTGATGGGTGAACATGGACAGCAGGTGTCTTATGGAAACACGTATTAATGTTTTCCAGCCGTACCGAAGATTCGAACTCCGGACCTCAGTGTGTGAGCTGAGTGTGCTAATGTCTCTTCTGAGCAGTGGTTTGACTTTATTTAATTATCTTAGGTTAAATCAGCTTAATGTTATTTTATGTGTCTATAACATCTGTATGTCCTAAAGACCAGCTTTAAAAATTTCAATGCTATTTACACTAGGCTTACATAAAACTTCAACACTGACATGTAACTTCATTATCAACATATGCCACACTCTGCACTATTCCAATCGCTTGCATTGAGACACAAGGGACTGAGGTTATGGAATATGGGAATACCTTACTCGGTTCTCTACACCTTGTTATTATTATTAATATTATTATTTTCATGGGAAGCTGCCTCCCAGCATACATAAGGAGGATTACCAACAGACTCCCCTAGCTGTCTTCTAAAGGGAGCTGGATGAGGCACCTGAAGCCAGTACCTGACTAGCCGGGCTGTGGTTCGTACGCCGGTTTGAGTGCAGCCGGCAGTAACAACCTTGGTTGATCATTCCCTGATCCACCGCGAGGCCTAGTCATGGACTAGGTCGTGGAGGCGTTGACCCCGGAACACTCCTGCTAAGTGCTAAACCCGTAAGTTAAGTGTCATGCAGTACACACTGAGAGCACCAAGAAAAAAAGTGAGCATCTGACTGGAACATCATATAGTGGGGCATAGTGATGCCTCAGGGCGCAGCAACCAGTGAATGTAGTCCACCATCACCCAACCCCCATAATTACTACCGTTTCTATTTGACGTTATGACTCTCCGACATGAACACTCGTGTGAGCCTTGAATGACCCGCAGGATGAAGGTGAAGGTAAATCCTTTCATCCTGTATTTATAAGATTAAACCCAACGTTTTCTCGTACAGTGGATATGAAGGTCCACTAGAAATTAACCCTTCACCGTAATAATACATGTTCGGTAGGTAAAAAAAAGGAAGGGTCTTATTGTGAACTTTAACCGGACAAAATATGACTCAAGGGTAAACATTATTAAGTTAGGATATAACGCTCACAAGGGGGTACAAGGGTCGAGGGTAGCAATAGCCTGGTGACAGACCACTGGTCACTAGGGAAGCCAGGCTGCGATGCTACGAAAATACGGAAACCGATACCTGGCACGTCATATATTTTACCAAAACGTGGACTTACGAGGCCTCGCTCCAGACTTTGGAGCTGAACCCTTCTCCATGCTGAAGGACTGACCACCTTAACTACTTCAAGGTAGATAGGCCGATCATATCTTTACTTCGCAGCTGCTTCTAATCTTAGTCTGCCCGAAATGCCTAGTCATACTAGGTGTGACAAGGGCCTTTTCTGTAATCAGTATTATATAATATGTAAACCACACAATATACTATAATAGGTAAACCCAACATTGTAATCTTTATAGAGAATAAACTCGATCTGATTTGATATTTACTCATCTGTATATTCGACTGAAGAAGCGTACCGCGTAAACGAACTGTTCCAGCACCAAACTTCTGCATAGGTATCTTTCTTGCTTATCTACCTGTGTGTACTGTATACCATTTTCATAATTATAGGTCTCGCTTTGCTAAGATTACTTGTTTTACCCATTTATCTGTCATTTCAATTTTATGCTACTGCTGCTGCTACTACTACTACTACTGCTACTGCCCGTAATGCCTAGGCATGCTAGTGGCCTTTGTAATTAATATTTTATAATATGTCAACCACATATTGAAAGCTTGGAAAAGAAATACACATTTTCATATTCATTTTCATTTACTGTGAAGGGACTTGAGCTAGAGCACGTCACAGCCATGATGGTGTAGGATTCAATGTAGAAAACTGCATTTGTGGTCACAGTGGTACCTGTGCTAACCTACCACTACTACTACTAATAGTACTACTGTTACTACTACTTACTACTGCTACTACTACTGACAATAATAGTAATAAATACACACTACATAAATAAATTACGATGAATTAATAACTTCTAATGATTATTTGAATGCGAGACTTATTATGGAGACCTTTGATGTATAACCCTTGTGGATTTAGCGCTTAGTTATGATTATTATAATATGGAGAGCTTTATGTGAGAACATTAGCGGTGTTACACAAAGTTCATCTCTGTTATTCTAGATTATATGTCTTTTTTTTTTTTTGTTTACTCCCGATGTTCCCTTATTTCTTATTGACTCACAACTTATTGACTCGCTGTCTTCTCCTTTTACACATTTTCCTCCTAGCGTTCTTCTCCTTCTCTATCATTCCTTTGATTCCATACCTCCTCCTCACCATCCCTCTCCTCCATCTTGCCTAGGCATGCTAGAGGCCTTCCTTGTAATTAACATTTTAAAATATGTAAACCTCACATTGTAAGCTTTGCAAGGAAATAAACATTTATTTATTATTTATCTTCTAAACATCACTTTCCTTCTATATCTCCTCTTCACCATCTTTCTCCTTTACTTCTTTTCCACCGCCTGTCTACCTCCCTCCCACCTTCCCTCCTCTACATCCTTCCCACCGCACCTTCCTCTTTTACCTCGTCCCCTCTTCACTACTTCCTACAGCCCCCTCCTCTATCATCTATTCCCTCCCATCTACCCCCTTCCCACTATCCACCCCCATCGCCTACCTACCGCCCCTTCTCTGTATCGTCTGTGGCGACCGTGACCGTGGCAGCAGGTGGTGGTAGGCGAGTGAAACTGTAGCAACTTTGGGTAGTGGATGAGGGGGTTATAATGTGGATCAGCACATAAATAACGCACTAAAACACTGGGTGGAATATAGGAGGAGGAAGTATGTTCTACTAATATTTCAAAATTCTTAAAAATTTACATAAATCGAACACTGCAGACGGGACACCAAGATCGTAGTTCTGTTCCTGCAATTTCAGTGCATAATCTGAAACATACGCAGTTATGGACACCTTTGTTCCTGTAACTACAAACAGGTAATAACACCTCACAGTTATGGATACCTTTGTGCCCGTAACTATAGAGATAAAAAAAATCTAGTTATGGAGGCTGTAAGCACAACGACGCTCTAGTGCCGAAGGATGGCTATTAAATCTTTCACGAAGGTGTTCGTTGCGTGACCCGAATATCTTCCCCTTGACCTTTTCCTCTCAATGCCTTTTCACTACCTCTCCCACTTATTTTTCTACATCTAACTCTCTTTCCTCTCACTATTTATCTCTCCCTCTCTTTCCTCGAACTACCTGCCTCACTCTCCCCAGACTACCTGTTTCTTACTCTCCTCACTACCTACCGTTCTCTCTCCATTCTCCTCTCATTTATTTCACTGCTCCTCTTTGAGCTGCACTTCACATCAATTTGGTACACGGGAGGTTAAATATAAAATTCCTGTGAAAACTGCATAAGAAATAACTTACAATCACTAGTTTTTTCTTATATTTATTTAAAATAAAGAGTTGTAAATATTTGGTTTTGTATTAATTGCCAAGATACTATAATAATTTTGTAAATGAATTGCGTTTGGATAGCAGAAAAACTACTGTAAAAATAGTAGCCTAGCGGCCAAATGCACTAGCACTGCTATTACTGTAAAATGAGTCACGTTACGTTTAATCAATATCAATGGCCAGAATGTTTAGTATTTTACAACATTATCATCGACAATATGAGCAGAACACAAAAGGGACTCACCTTGTCAGGAGGGCAAACCTCGGCAGGAGCCGCGTTGGCCTTGGCTTGGCCAGGGCTGCTACCCATCTTTGTGCACCCGCCCTCAGGTTCACAAGTGCCCGTAGCCAGGCAGAAGAGCTTCAGTGCACCAGCAACAAATGAAGTGCAACACACGGATGAGCATGGTAGAAAAATTGCCAATTGAGGTTCATGACACAAGTTGTGTAATAATTTTATGTATTCTGCCTGTAAGTTAGATTTATGTACTGGTAATATAAAGTGTGTTCCTAATGAAAATGGGCTAATGTGTTTATATTCTGATATAATACAAGGGGATGAGAGTACATCATAATACTGTGTTGTAATGACGTGGGGATTTAATTTTTAGTTGCCTCACCACAAGATATGTTAAAAAAAAAGGATTAGTTTACACTGAACAGAGAAGACTGATGAGATTACATGCAGAAAACTCTGGAACCATAACCCTTTCAAAGCCCTTTTTGCCTTGAGCTTTATCCCCATTTTTGGAAAATTCTGATAAATTTTATTTTTCGGGAGGAAATTTATGATCTCTAATCTTAAAGATAAAAGGTCAGGTTGCTGACGAGTGAGCTGACCTGCCTGGCATGGGCCAATAAGCCTACCGTTGGTGTGCCTTGTGGCACGCCAGCTCTGATTTCGCACCCAGCAAGGTTTGTTAATGGCGCCATTACCTGTATTACATATACAGTTTTTTAAGATACGGTGCACAAACGCCTAGTGATGATCATTAAACTCACCTATATTACAGAAACCAGATCTCGAAAATACCCGAGAAAAATAGCATAAGACTCACTAGAACTATTCGATATGAAAAATCTTAGGACTGCATCGTACCTTACCAAATGAAAATAAATATGAAAACCAAACTCACGTAGTCGAGTTTGGTTTTGGGCGGCGGTGCCACGTTGACGATTAATAAACTGAGATGTTTAACACATAACTTGTATAAAGAAGAAAGGGCTAAATAGTTAACAGTAAATAAAATAGAATACCAATGCAAAATAAATGCAATTAATATAGATGCGACTTACGGCGCGCTTCACTGTCACTCCGAAGACTGAGGAACTTGACCAAACCTTCTCCATTACCAATAAACCGAGAAGCTCATTAAGTCTTTCCATGTACTATTATAATTATTTTTTGCGTTCAAAAACAAACTGAGAGGATTACAGCACAGAAACCTGGCCCATTGTGCCTACTGCACGGTATGAGCAAAATGTTTAGAAGTTTCTGTCTGAAGTGTAGTGTGCCGTAGCGCGTCATTCTGGTGTTTTGCTGATGAATCTATCCACGATGAAAGGCTTCTCCTGGAAGTGCCTCTCTCGTCAGTGTTATCTTTTGTTTCTGACACTTTGGGTAGTCTGCTTTATTTGGCTACCTGTTCATTGATCTTCTCACCTCCACCTCTCTCCCAGTCTTTGGCGACTTGTAAAACTGGGTCAATAATTTCGTTAATTTTTCTTTATACGTGGTGTGAGTAGCCAATACTGAAGGTGATTTTGTGATGGCAAGGTAGTTGGGTAATTTTTTTAATGAAGAAAGTGGTGGTAATCATGGGTGAAATTTAGTAAAAGCAGTCTGTCGTCATATATATAAAACAACAATCACGCTCAAGAAACTGATGGAAATATAAATACTAATAATAGTGTGTACCACACACAACACACACGTGTGAAACACTTGATTGAAGGATATAAAAATACGAAGGAAGTTAAGAGGTTTGATGCAAAGCAGGTCCCAAAAATGCGACGTCTGGGGTACAACGATAAGAAAAGATAAGATAAGATTTCGTCCGGATTTTTAACCCCGGAGGGTTAGCCACCCAGGATAACCCAAGAAAGTCAGTGCGTCATCGAGGACTGTCTAACTTATTTCCATTGGGGGCCCATTGTCCATTGTTCCCCAGAATGCGACCCACACCAGTCGACTAACACCCAGGTACCTATTTGCTGCTAGGTGAACAGGACCACAGGCGTAAGGAAACGTGTCGAAATGTTTCCACCCGCCGGGAATCGAACCCGGGCCCTCCGTGTGTGAAGCGGGAGCTTTAGCCACCAGGCCACCGGGCCATGTAAGTGCGGGAGCTTTAGCCACCAGGCCACCGGGCCATGTAAGTCCTTGATCTTACATCACCTGAAGATGGGAGAACCAGTGAAAACATGACGTGATCGTATAATGGGAGACACACAAGGGTGAAACAGACGGATTATTTGAAGATGAGAGGAAACAAAGAGGAGACTCGACTGAAAACTTAAAAATCTCCATGAAGAATATTGAGACGATGAAGAATTACTTTACTGTGAGGGTAGTGAACAAATGGACAATATTAGTAAGGGATATAGTAGAGGCCAGTACTGAAATCAAAATAAGTATAACGAAACCTAAACAAGGGCAGGGGTAAGCCACACCAGTTGATAGAAGAGCAAATTCGAGGCTTACAAGCTGGAGCTCAACTCCCGCAAACAAAACTAGGTGATTATACACAGTGGAATTCGTGACTCATGAAGAATGTGGACTTACTTTGCCCGGTAGGCAGGTAGTGATGAGTGGAGGAGGAGGGTGGAGGTCTTCACCAGCCTGGCCACACTGGCTCTCCAGCACGCACGACCCAGCACTCATGCAGAACACCTTCACCACAAGGAGCTAGTTAGAACCTGAATCTCGTTTTTTTTTCTAGTGATGCAATATATTAACTGTTAACATTTTAAATGCAGTTGTTAATCAAGGTGCTTGAGGACTTATAAGCAGTTTGGTTTCCGTACCCTTGTTTGCCTTTAATAGAGACGATTTTAAACGTAAAATTAATCTCGGCCCACTCTTTAATTCCAAAGTTAAATAAATGAGTAAGCAATTCGCTTGTCAAGTAAACAGCTATTACGACAACTTCCAAAATCAGATTAGAATGTGTGGCGTCACAGGTAAACAGGCCAACAAGGTTCGCCCACCTTGTTCCTCCCTCCCTAGACGGCTAGCGTTTCTCTCCTTCACTAACTCTTCTACTGGATTATCCCCAAATTTTGAGAAACGCAATGGAATGTAAGGGAATTTCAAAAACATTTACTGTATACACTAATTAAAACTAATTATATTATCCAGTAAAATTTCTGAACTGTATGTAAGAATTTATGTAAATTTGATTTATTTTTAGTATTAAACTCAACTATTTCGTAAATCTTATCAATATTTATCTGGGTTCCTGACGTGTCCATGATAGAGCTTGAGGACCATATATTAATCACACGTTAGGGAACCTAAACGAAGTCTATTTTGTTTAATTCAGAAGAGTAGGTAAAAGTTAGTTACTGATTTAACCCAGCGGGTTAACCCCTACCTGATGTACTACACTTATATTTAAGAAGACAAATCGGTTAATACTAACAATGTTTGTCATGCGATTAACGAACAGTAGAACGAGCCTCCACCGCCCCTTGCGCTGAATGTCCCACAAGCGTTTATCGTTTCACGTTAAATAAATAAATAAATTTCAAAGAATTTTTCCCCAATTTTTTGGTAGAGATACATCAACCATTTTCCAGCTCCTGAACTATCCCATTAACTGGTGACAACTCTCCTGCTTGTCAAGCGAAAGATCAAAATGGAAACTGTCCATCACTGGTCTTGAAACAATTTGTTTAGTTCGCCATCTGTTTCGTCCTAGATAAGTAATGAACAATATCTCCAGATGTCACCTCATTTGACCAGTGATAAATATGGTGACGACCAGAGATACTGTTTACGATCATATGAGGTGAGCACCTGAGATATTGTTCAACTAATCTAAAAACTTCTGAGCTTAAAACGTCGAAGTTTACTTAGTCGTTCTCTACAATATTTTAACAATGCTCCCTCTATAAACTGAAAACATAAGATTTTTTCAAAGAATGAACTTTACCCTTCAATTTTTTATCACATTTGATCCAAAGTAATGGAAAAATCTATTTACCCGAGGGTGTCCTGTCTAATATGTCTATACTACTAAAACTAAATCAGCATAAATAATACTCAGAACCTCATTTTTCTCAGCTTAACAGCTTAGAAAAAAGTTGGGAAAGCCTACACAGTAAGGATTTATTGTTTAAACAGATGAACAGCATTCCCTTTTAGCGTTAACAAATGGTATATCACACCTGTCCACTGGGGCAGTTCGTGACTGTGGTTGGGGGTCCAGATGATGTTCCAAAACAGTTGCCAGGGAAAACACAGGTTCTCAGTTGTAGACAAAATTCTTGTGGCAGTGGACAACTAATGACCGATGGTGATGGGATTTGCGACTCTGCTGGGCCACAGCGTCCCCTGATGACGCAGGTGCCAAGCTGTAAACAGAACTCCTGCTGAGGAGGACAAGTAGTAGGTGTAGCTGGAAGTTGCGAACCAGGGATCTTACATTGGCCTTTGATGACGCAGGTTCCAAGATGTAGACAGAACTCCTGTTGAGGAGGACAGGAAGAAGGTCCATCTGGGGGTTGAGAATCGGAGACCTTACATTGGCCCTTGATGACGCAGGTTCCAAGATGTAGACAGAACTCCTGCTGAGGAGGACAGGAAGAAGGTCCATCTGGGAGTTGAGAATCGGAGATCTTACAATGGCCCTTGATGACGCAGGTTCCAAGACGTAGACAGAACTCCTGCTGAGGAGGACAGGAAGAGGGTCCATCTGGGAGTTGAGAATCGGAGATCTTACATTGGCCTTTGATGACGCAGGTTCCAAGATGTAGACAGAACTCCTGTTGAGGAGGACAGGAAGAAGGTCCATCTGGGAGTTGAGAATCGGAGACCTTACATTGGCCCTTGATGACGCAGGTTCCAAGATGTAGACAGAACTCCTGCTGAGGATGACAGGAAGAAGGTCCATCTGGGAGTTGAGAATCGGAGATCTTACAATGGCCCTTGATGACGCAGGTTCCAAGATGTAGACAGAACTCCTGTTGAGGAGGACAGGAAGAAGGTCCATCTGGGAGTTGAGAATCGGAGACCTTGCATTGGCCCTTGATGACGCAGGTTCCAAGATGTAGACAGAACTCCTGTTGAGGAGGACAGGAAGAAGGTCCATCTGGGAGTTGAGAATCGGAGATCTTACACTGGCCCTTGATGACGCAGGTTCCAAGATGTAGACAGAACTCCTGTTGAGGAGGACAGGAAGAAGGTCCATCTGGGAGCTGAGAACCAGATAGCTTACACTGGCCCTTGATGACGCAAGTTCCATGCTGTAGACAGAACTCTTGTTGAGGAGGGCAGAAAGGTAGGGTTGGAGGACTGGATCCAGGCTGGTCACACTGACCTCTAGCAACGCATTTGGCGAGTTTTAAGCAAAACTCTTGGAAGGGCGGACACTTAGCTGAGTCGGGCAGTGGCGGAAATTCACGGCTTTCACACATACCTTTTGGAATACAGGACGATGTTTCCAGGCAGAACACCTGACTGGGAGGACACTTATTTGATGCGTGCGAGGACAGAAGTCCGCTGGTCTTGCACATGCCTTTAAGTGTACAAGACGATGTTTCCGCACAGAACTCATAGAAGAAAGGACATCTGGTTGAGGCAGGTGTAGGTAAATGTTCACTGGTTTCACACATTCCCTTGGGTTTGCAGGACGATGTTTCCAGGCATAACTCGTGTTGCGGAGGACATGAAGGCGAAGGTAGAGGAGTTCCTATAAATTTACATTCGCCTTCGGCGACGCAAGAATCAAGTTCCAGGCAGAACTCTTGTAAGGGAGGACACATGACTGACGGAGGCGAAGAAGGAAGTTCATTATTCCTGCATGTCCCTTTAGGTATACATGATGATGTTGCCAGGCAGAACTCGTACTGCAACGGACAAGAAGGTTCAGGAAGTTGGGTCCTAGGAGATCCACACTGGCCCTTGGATACGCAAGCGCCAAGCTGTAGACAGAACTCCTCTTGATGAGTACAAGAAGATACAGCTGATTTGTGGGACCCAAATGATTCACACTGGCCTCTGTGAACGCAGACGCCAAGCTGAAGACAGAACTCTAGTTGAGGAGGACAGGACGACGGTCCATCTGGGAGCTGAGAACCGGAAGTCTTACACTGGCCTTTGATGACGCAGGTGCCAAGCTGCATGCAGAACTCCTGTTCTGGAGGACAAGACGACGTTGAGTCTGGAAGTTGAAAATCGGAGATCTTACACTGGCCCTTGATGATGCAGGTGCCAAGCTGCATGCAGAACTCCTGTTGAGGAGGACACGAAAGTACAGTTGGGAGACTGGATCCAAATTGGTCACACTGGCCTTTGTCTACGCAGGAACCAAGTTTCAAGCAAAACTCCTGGAGAGGCGGACATACGGCTGAGCCTTGCAGTGGTGGCAATTTACGGCTTTCGCACATACCTTTCGGTGTACAGGACGAGGTTTCCAGGCAGAACTCGTATTGCAACGGACAGGGCAAAGGTGTTCCTGGAAGTTCACACTCTCCTTTGGGGACGCACATATTCATTTTTAGGCAGAATTCTTGAGAAGGAGGACACTTTCCTGACTCAAGCGAGGACTGAGAATCATTGGTCTTGCACATCCCTTGAGGTGCACAGGACGAGGTTTCCAGGCAGAACTCGTATTCCAAAGGACATGGTGGAGAGAATTTGCCTCCAAGAGGCTCACACTGACCCCTAGCGACGCAGGTGCCAAGTTGCAGACAGAACTCCTGTTGAAGAGGGCAGGAAAATACAGCATAAGTATCAGATCCAAATATCTCACACTGGCCTTTGGTGACGCAGGTGCCGAATTTCAAGCAAAATTCTTGTAGGGGCGGACACACAGCTGAGTTGTATAGTGGTGGAGGTTCATTGCTTTTGCACATTCCTTTCGGTGTGCAGGATGATGTTTCCAGACAGAACTCCTGGAAGAGAGGACAGTTGGTTGAAGCAGGCGTGGTTGAATGTTCACTACTTTCGCACATTCCTTTGGGTTTGCAGGACGATGTTTCCAGACAGAACTCCTGGAAGGGAGGACAGTTGGTTGAATGTTCACTACTTTCGCACATTCCTTTGGGGTTACAGGACGATGTTTCCAGACAGAACTCCTGGAAGGGAGGACAGTTGGTTGAAGCGGGCGTGGGTAAATATTCACCGCTTTTGCACATCCCCATGGGTTTGCAGGACAATGTTTCCAGACAGAACTCGTACTGTAACGGACAAGAAGAAGCACTAGGCCAGTGTGTTACTGGAATTTCACACTGGCCCTTGGCGACGCAAGAACCAAGCGCCAGGCAGAATTCTTGATGAGGAGGACAAGAAAAAGGCACAGCTGGGAGACTGGTCTCTGAAGGCTCACACTGGCCTCTGGCGACGCAGGTGCCCAACTGCAGACAGAATTCCTTGTTGGAGGCACATCCGAAAAACACAGGGAAGAGGCGGGACCCTTCACACCTTTCCTTGGGAGTACACCGAGAAGACTCGAGGCAGAACACCTGGGAAATGGCGATGCCTCGGTTACCAACACATTATTACTGCTTACCCTCTTACACAACGTTTATAATATTCACATTAAAACACATTAACAGATATTTATTTTCTTATTTAATATTTTTTCAACATGAGTGAATACTCTGTTCATTTTATAAACTTATCTGACAAGCCAGGTCTACATAACTTGGTCTGAGCTGGTCATAGGAGTCAACATCATAGTCATGTCTATAATAGGTCCGTAGTGTCATGAATGATTCTGAAGACGATATATAACCGAGTTAACAAGAAAAATTTTGTCAAGGATTCAACAACTTAATAACGGAAACAGTCAAGGTGAACAGTGCCAAAGGCAACACAACAGCAGCTAACAAGGGCAGCTACAGGCAGTGTGAGTCACACTTCACCACTATTGCCTTACATCTCACCGATACTACAATAACTTTTCACCAGTATTACCGCCACACTACTATTACCACCAGACGTCCTTTTTACCTTCCCATTTTCACTATTAACAAGAGTATCACTATTACTCTTGCACTTCAAAAGTATTAACCGTATATCGTCACCAGTTTTATCCACACATCACCAATATTACCACCACATTTCAACATTACCACTACAGCGACGTGCCTTATAACGTCAACCAAAAGTTATTCGTTCGTTAATAAGAGTCCCCGAACTATTAGGTTCACTACAGGTCAGCCATTCGTGCATCGATAACATTCACCATAAGACAGTTATTCCTACTCTCGTAAAGTTTGTTAATCCTCAGTTTTTCGTATCAATATCATTCACTAAAAATCGATTATTCGTGCCTTGATAGCGTTTACTAAGGTTGTACTAACGCGAGACCTCTCATTTTTTTTTTTTTTTGCATTTCACGAAGCGCTAAACCCGTGTGGGTCATTCAGCGCAAGCAGGGGTGGAAGATCGCTCCTCCGACCGTTAACTGCAACCCGGCTGTTGGCAATTCTTCGAATTAATGTAAACTGTAGCAGTAGTGGCAGCCAAAGAAGTGGCCCAGTTATTAGTAGTAGTGGTATCAGTGAGTCAATATATAAGTAGTAGCTGCAGCAGTATCATTATTTTGGAATTTGGTAAAATAATGCTATATGTATCATTATTATTTTGGAGTTTGGTAAGATAATATGATGTGTGAATGTCATCGATGAATACACGTGGGTCATTCTGCGGCAGTAATCTAGAATTCCCAAATCCAACAAGAATATCCCACTCTCTATGAAAAGTGGAGTCAAGAAATCGACAACACATGCTAAAAAATAATTAATAGTATCTGGTAACATCAAAGGTTACAGCCACACAGCCTTTCATCCTCACACAGGTTAGACAATTCCAGTCAAACAACTATCTTAACACAGGTTAAATCAGTGTTATCCACAAGTCACCGAGTTATGCAGAGGATATTCTGCATATATGTCATCTACCGCACTAACTACATTCAAGTAGTAAATGCCCGTTACCATTATCCCTAACAAACTTATAATACCAAACAGGTAATTGATACAACCTTCAGAAGTGGAACACTACTATCCATACAAAGTTTTAATTTAACCGACTATCCTTCTAAACATCCTGGGGTCGCGTCTCACCACCCCAAGACACCTTATGTGACAAAGACTGATTCACTCTACCTGTCATGCTATGGTAGCCAAGGAGGTACTATATATCGAATCACGGAGGCAATAAATAAATCAAGTTATCATGACACTAGAAGACAGCAAGCAAACTAGCAGTTTTGGTTTGCAAAGTTATAATGTCTGTTGTTTTGTCACGTCAAGTTATGGTATTAATCAAGGTCGTGTTAAAATATTCTGGCCATGGATAAGTCTTCTCAAGTTATGGTATCAATATATGTCATGACAATTAAAGCATTCACAATGCCATACCAAGGAATTGTGGTAGTGCATAATTTATTACAGTGCCAAAGTTTAGTGAAATTGTATATGGTACCAGGAAAGGCAATGGTGTCAGTGCGTCATGGAACATCAATCAGGGTGACACAGTACTTAAAAAAAAATAATACTGGCAGAGGGCATCACTGAAATATGTCATGGTGGCACACGGAAGGACCACGAAATATTACGGTGACAAAAAATGCGCCATTAGAAGTTATGGCAGCCACACACAGTGATAGGGAAGTTTATGGTGGGAGAAGACTGCGCCACAGTCAAGTATTGGGGGCAAGATATCTCAGCAAAGGTTATGACAGCAGTGCAGTATCACAATAAGTTATGGTTACAGAAGACAGTTCCACGGAAAGTAAACAATGCCAAGCAGAAGTATGGGGAGTGTGCAAAGTATCATGCAAATATTATGGCAGTATACAGTGCCATACGAATACAGGGCCTTCCGTTATGCATAAAGGAAGTTGGACTGTACCCCGGTCACTTTATGCGTACAGTGGCAGATACAAAGTTAAATCTGAATAGTATATACGTATACTGTATATATATAACACCAACCAATACGTAATTGGCAGCACACAGCGCCATGCAACATGGAACATTTGCAAATTTCACGCACTTTGGAATATGCAATTTGATTAAACAAACAGATTAGTGATCACAAAATTACAACACAGAGCCAATCACAACAAATCTAACAGAAACAGTTCTCACAAAATTAAAACTTTGCTGTAAACATGAGTCAACCCACTTAAGATTGCCAATAAACAGGTTCAGTAAGTTTTAGCCGCAAGTCACACTGGTCATGCAGAGAATACTGGAATATAGTTTAGAGAGCCTTAGGAACATACACACCTGACCCGTTGGACAGGTGTTCAGATCAGAGCTATCAACACTGTCGCATCTTCCCTCAGCAAGGCACTGCCCAGTAGACCGACACAACACCTACAGATATTATACTCCTCAGCTTTAAGTGTATTTATTTATATGGATCTTAATATAAATTTTATTCTATAAGGAAAAAAATATTTATAAGTGTTTGGGAACTGAGAGACCGCCTTGGAGACAAAAAAAAAAAAAAGGTACGAAGAGAGGACTGAATATTTTGACCTCTAACTGAGGTCCTCTTCAGTCTCAAGCAGACAGAAAAAAATTGCATTTTTTTCTGCACTGCTGAATGCGCACGCACGCACGCACACACACACACACACACACACACACACACACACACACACACACACACACACACACACACACACACACACACAGAGTGGCCACTTTATTAGGTACACCCTTCTAGTACTTTAGTAGGGCCCTTTCTTTGCCCCCAGAAGGGCCTGATTTCTTCGTGGCATGCTTTCAACAAGGTGAGGGAAACATTCCTTAGAGATTCTGGTCCATGTTGATATGATAGCATCACGCAGTTGCTGTAGATTTGTTGGTTACACACTTATACTGCGACTCTCCCATTCCACCGCATCCCGAAGGTTTACTTCAGATTCTGACCCGACCACCTGCACGTCGCCGCAGAAATAGCGATTCTTCAGATCAGGCGACGTTTTTCCAGTCTACAGCTGTCCAGTTTTCGTAGGCCAGTGCCCACCGTAACCAGTTTCCTGTTCCTAGCTGACAGGAGTGGAACCCAGTGTGGTCTTCTGCTGCTGTAGCCCATCCACTTCGAGGTTCGACGTGCGTTCAGAGATGCTCTTCTGCACACCAATGTTATAACGTGTGGTTATTTGAGTTACTGTCGCTTTTTTATCAGTTTTGAACCAGTCTGGCCATTTTTCTTTGATTTCTCTTATTAACAAGGCGTTTTCAATCACAGAACTGACCCTCTCACTGGATGTTTTTTTTTTCCACACCATTCTGTGTAAACCCTTAGAAACTGGTGTGCGTGAAAATCCTAGATCATCAGTTTCTGAGATACTCAAACCACCCCGTCTGCCACCAATAATCATTCCACGGTCAGAATCACTTAGATCACATTTTCCCCATTCTGGTTATTGATCAGAACAACAACTGAACTTCTTGACCATGTCTGCATGCTTTTAGACTGCGATCCTGCCACGTGATTAGCTCAGATATCTGCATTAATGAGCAGGAGCACAGGTGTACCTAATAAAGTGGCCTATGAGCGTGGATATATATATATATATATATATATATATATATATATATATATATATATATATATATATATATATATATATATATATATATATATATATATATATATATATATTATTATTATTATTATTATTATTAATTAGAGAAAGACATACATACAAGTATGAATCTATTACAGCATTTTCTTTCCCTAAAATTTGCTGCAGAATACTCAGGATAAAATATATGACACCAACCAATTTAGACGTAATAACACATATTTTGGGTAAATTAACGAAGACTGAAGAAATACTTTAACAAAGTCTAAAAGTGTCAAGTAAAGAAAGCCGGTGATACCATCTACACAACATATAATTGACCAAACATGTTGTATAGCTCGCCTTGAGTCTTCCTTCATTAGTGTGTCCCTGTAACACATCATGACATGAAACAAGCGCTATTATTACTGTTGTAATTATATTATTATTATTATTATTATTATTATTATTATTATTATTATTATTATTATTATTATTATTATTATGGGAGTGATAAAACTGAGTCATACAGAACTTGGGGAATGAGAGGTAATCAAGTTTGATCCACGGAAGGGGAGGGTAGCTCCAAGTGCCGGGAGGAAGAGGTATTCAGCAGTAGCCAAGAGGACCAATAATCGCCCATGTATCATTTACTTAAAAACGCTCATGTGAGGTCGGGAGTCACAACAGTATTTACAATCTGCTTCATACCTTGTTGCTCTGTATATTTACACTGGATAGCTTGTATCCAGTGTAAATATACAGAGCAATATGCTATAGCTATGTGGTTGAGTACCTCTTTTTTCATTACATTATCCGACCTTGATACATTAGTCGCAGTTGTACCTTGTAACTGGTGCGTCTAGAGCTCTGAATTTATCCAGTTACATCTAGCTAGCCTCGTTCTCTGCACCTACAGTGATTCATGCGAGAGATAACAAAGTTAATTATTCATATTATAATCATAAGGAAGAACTAGCTTGAGTTTCTAATATTTTACACTATTATCTCCCAAGATAACCTGTATAATGCAGGGCCATGCAATCTGCTACGCTAGACATGGAAACTTCCGATGAACCTAGAGGATATTCTCAAGTAAACTGAATATCACTGAACTCGACACTGACACACAGTCATTAACTCACTACCCCTTATTACTCTGATAAATTACCCTTATTTCTGCCATTTTTAATTTTTAAATTTCTTTATTTTATTGGTATACGTACGTAAGATTTCCTTATACATGCACCCGTTAACAGTAAGTCTGAAGTAACATTACAGTGAAGACACTGGAAGTA